CTGCCTTGATGATGGACAGTTAAATTTGTTTCAGGATTTGTATGATGACATTTGTAGAGAAAACAATGGGAGATATAAAGAAGAACAAAAGTGGACATTCTTAACTTTCAACTGACTAAGGAACCAGAAAGCCAACTAATGCTGAACTAGCAGCCAACCAGTAACGTGAACAAACTAGTGACCAAGTAAAAGCCCCAGCAGAGACCTTCTTTCTTATCTTGTTGGCTTCCAGAAAAAGAATGTGAGGAATGATCTTGCATAGAAGGAGATTTGAAGTTTGGGAGAGGCAATGTGTGCACCTTGGTCTGATGAAGATGATCTTGGGTGAGGTCTGATGCAAAAACAAATTGAAAAATTAGGTGTTTACACTAAATTATATTCCAGCTCTGAAAAGGCTACATATGGAGTACACAAGGAGGATTTTGTAGAACATATTTTTAAGTAACTTCTTGGTGGGTTTTTCAATATTAGACTTCATTGCCTTTTCACAAGAAACATCCCATTGCAAATAACACTTCCACTTGAGCAACAGGGGGGCACATCTATACGAGACATTTACTGCACAGTTACTAATTAGCTGTGCAGAAAACATCTTGCATCAACACATGCCCCTTTTAGGCTGGTGCAAACTAATTTACTTACTTACTGATTTACAAGTACTGTTCTGCTGTGGAGTGAAAAATTCTGCAGCTGCGCAAGTGTAGACACTGAAGGGGCTGGCTGGGGCATCAGGGTACTTCAGTGCAGGGGCTGCCTGCTGGTTAGACCCACACTGAAGCACCCTCATGCCCTGCCCAGCTTGTCTGCAGCCCATTGAGCCAGGGGGATCAGCCCTTGCCTGGCAGGCTGACCCCTGGGACCCTCTGCCAGGTGGGGTGCTCCAACCCAGCTCCACCTGCTGTGCATCAATAAACCGGTGCTTGTTGCTTCAGAGTTAATTGCTCCCAGGAGCCCATTCAAATGGTGTGCCTGAGAGCAATAAACTCTGGAGCAATAAGCTCTGCAGTTTAGTCATGCACCACAGCAGCACATGTAGATGCTCCTGGAAGATTCTCTTTTAAGTTTTTGTTTCCAACCAGGAGATGTGCTGTATTTTCCAAGATACTCTGGTAGTAAGCAAATGATACATTTCCCTGCTGCAAACACAGTAATGTTGCAATATAAAACTGCTTGGTACCACACAAAGACCTTACAAACAGTCCTTGGACTTATGATACAATTGGTTCCTGAAAACTGGTCTTATGTTGAAACTTTGTAACTCGGAACCATTTTTCTCGTAAGAAACAATGTTATAAATGGGGGATTGGTTCCTGAACCAAGGCCCGATACCTTATTTTCACCAAAAATACCCCAGAATTTTGTACTTAATCAATTATAGATGAGTAATATAGCTACATTAATGTATTTATATTGTAAATAGCAATCATATTGATTTGGAATGACTTCTTTGAGGTGACTTTGCCGGACTTTTTGAAGGGCTCTTGATTGTACTTTTTGAAGGGCTCCTGTCTAGAGTCTTCTCAGGAGTCTTGGCTGCAGGTTTTTCTGGAGTCTCGTCTGCTTTCTTAAAGAAAGTGTCCAATGAAGTTTGGGCAGATGTTCTCCAGGGAGATGTGTGACACAGCGAACTTCTTCACTGGCATGGTGTCACATCAGGTCAAGCGTTGTAAAGTTGAAACTGATGTCATATAGTTGAAACAGGGTGTCAATTTATAAACGTTGTAAGTGCGAAACATTGTAACTCAAAATGTTGTAAGTCAAGGACTGCCTGTACTTTGGTTCTTAGCAGCATAAAGGGTGCATTCCCAAAACATGAGCAAACCTGGATCTGTCCGCTAGAGGGAATTGTACAAGGATGCACATAACAACTTTGTACATGATTGCCTTTACTGTAGAACATTTCTGTTGCTTTTATCTGGCCCCACCCCCTGGACAAGCTGCCCGTGGCCCTGTCCCACCCCCACTGGGGCCCTGTGGCCACACATTGTGGTCCCAGCCCCAAGCCCCACACACCACCTGGCTGGGCAGCAGCTCCAGCCCTGCCCAACTCCCTCCCAATGGGGGCCTCAATACCCCCTTCGCCCCACCCCCACTTACCTACGGGAGCTGCTTACTTCCTCTCCCTCCCAGCCCCCTTCAAGCTGGGACTCTGCCAACCTGTAGAGAGCTCTTTGCAAAACTGCAAAAGCTCTGGGTTCCTCTATTAAAATGAGAAATCTGTATTTCCTCTGTGTTTTTGTCCATTTTCTGTGTGAAATGGAAAACCCAGATCCCTGGTTATCAGAAGCCTGGGGGCAAAGACTTAATTGTCTGTTTGACTGTAAGGCACTTTTTTTATTTAGTGGTCTGCTGAAACAGTTGTAGAATCTGCTCAAGGAAAGCATAACATATTTTTTTGAGGTGCCTTTTCTACCAGTACTTCAAACTGAACATACAATAGTTTGTTAGAACAGGATTGTGTAGTTTTCTGAGCATGCATCTAGTAGTGTCATCTCTCCAGGGTTCTTCTCCCCTAGGCATGCTGGCAAATGTGCCCCTATAGCAAGCCTCAGGCTTCACAGAGAGTAACTGAACATTGTTGCCCCTGAAGTTTGATGTCCTTTTTAATTACTGCTCTCTTTTTATTGTCTAGGCAGGTGTGATTCCACCGAGTGTGTGGTAATTACCTGCCAAAGCAACTGTTTGCTTTTTTTCTGTCTCATTGGACAAGTTGGGAAGGAGCTTGTGCACCTGGTTCCAAGATGAGGGCTCATTTTGAGACATTAGTATAGTGTTGAATATTTGACAGGCTGTGGTTCAGAATACACAGAAGGCAGCTGCTCAGTGCTTTGTTAACACTATGCCATGCCAATGGGCATAAAAATACATAGCTGTGTCATCCCTGGATATTTTACAGGCTGTCAGAAAAGATCTAGACTCAGTGAGATCCTTTCTTGCCTCCATGTTTCTTTCTCAGACACTTTGTCAAAAGCAGGTTATCTTAATGACAAAAAGTAGAGAATTCTCTCTGAAGTGTTATGTCAGGCTTCTGTCTATACCAGTGTATATATACATTGCTAAAGTCTGTGACAAGAGTGTAGCATTCAATTTGTACTGTTCTGCTTACTACCTTCATGATGGATGGTTGAGATTGTACTTGAGCATCTCCATCTAGAAACAGAAGAAGAGAAAAAGATAAAATGAATATAAAACTGAATGAAGTTGGAGAACCTTAAATTATTATTCAGTAATGTTCCCCCTTGTCAGGGGCCAACTTACAAGAATAAATAACTGAAAGAAGAAGAAAAAGCAGTGGAAACACGATGACTATGGTATGGCGCACCTGCTTCTGAGAACCAGAGGAAGAGGACTCTTGATCTAAGATGGAGGAAGCAATGAATTCAAGGAAAGGAGGCAAGTGACTCATGCTATCTATACCCAATGGTAACTTTCCTGGACTCACAAAAGCTATTGCAAGGCAACTCTTCCTTTCAGGAAGAGTTCAGAAGGCTGGGGGGGGTGTGGAGGGACACTTCACCAATTCCATTATTATAATGCCAGAAGGGACCATTACGTACAAGTTGTCTGACCTTCTGCATGACACAGACCATAGGGTTTTTCTAAATTAATTCTTGAGGGAAATGAAGGAAACCCTTTGGATTCATTGGGAAATGGCCAGCTCTGGAGAATGCACTGCCAGATATGGCATGTTTTTCCAGTGGTTCATGAACCTTACTGTGAAAATCTTATACTTTATATCAGGTCTAAAGTTATTTAATTTCAACTTCTAGCAATTGGAAATTTTATACTTTTGCATACTACATTAAGGGGTCTCTTTCGAGTCTCTCTAAAGGGTCTTCCTAAAGTTTTTGTCATTTGTATGTTCTTTCAGACTGTGCTCAAGTCCCTGCTTAGTCTGTCTTTGATTGAGTTCTTTCTATCTGTCAGTGGATGGTATGCTTTCCAATGGTCCTTCATCTCTGAACTTCCTCTAGCTTATCAACATTCTCCCTGTGCTGTAGATGTGAGAACTGACACCCAGAGTAGTCATTCCAGTGCTAAAGAAGGAGGGAACATCCCTACTTCTGCTTCAGATTCTCTTGTTTATACAACCAAGTTTTCTGTATTTGTCCTTTGGGCCACAACATTGAATTGGGAGATCGCCTTCAACAGTTCATCCATGATGACCCTACAGTTCTTTCTAGAGTCCTAGTTCTTCTGGATAAAGTTCCCATCTTGTACCAGCAGCCTACATTCCTTAAAAACCATTTTACTTGTGTCCTGCATACCAAATGATCCAAATTGCTCTGTACTGGAGGCTTATTCATATAAGCCTGCCTTCATATCCACTCCATTACTTTCTACCACTATTCACTGCCTTCATATCCACTCCATTACACTCTACCATCCTCTTCATCTTAAACATGCTCAGCTTGGCTACCCATCAGTGAAGCCACTTTGGAAACATTCCATTTAGTGACTCTGAACTTCTGAAGGGTTTGTGAGAGGCTAGAGTGGAAGCTGGTGAAGGCAGACGAGATGACTTAAAATAATGAATAATATTTGTTTCTCAGAATCATCCTAGTTAGCCATCACACACCTTGCATGTATTAGGAGAGACAGGTTTCTACTTCCTTGTATTCACCCCAAAGATCCCAAAAGCCATTGACAAATAATTTGCTAAACTTCCTTGGTGTATAGAAGTTGGATGAAGTGCTCAGTGATGTAGCACAAGAGTTCCATTAAGAAAATGGTGATAGACTAATCTCTGTGGACACAGGAGACAGAAATAGGGGCAGTGGTCTCAAATTGTAGCAAGGGAAATGTGAGCTGGAGATTAGTAAGAACTTGCTCACTATGAGGGAGAAAGCACTGGAGCAGGGTACCTAGAGTGGTTGTGTAATCTCCATCCTTGGAAGCATTTGAGAGAGTATGGTTAGAGAAGCCCTGGTCTAGGATGGTTTGGATAGGGATGATCCTGCCTTAAGCTGGTGGGGAGAGGCTAGACTTCCTGGGGTCCCTTCTAGTTTTGCTTTTCTATGATTCTAAGAGAGCATTAAATCCTGGTAGAGATAAAAAAGAAATCCCTTGTCTCAAGTGGAAGTAGCATTAGGAAAAAGAGTACCTGATCTACATCCGTCCTCTTGCCATAGGCTTATATGGCAAGAATGAGTAGCATGGTGATGCCAGATTAGCTTTATTGGTGTAGTCTACACTACTGCCCTATTAATTCTCACCACTTCTCCTCCATTTCTGTTCTACTGGGTTAACAACTGCATGCCTGCCAGAAAGTTTGGCCCTCTCTGGTTTAGAACAGTGGCAGGCAGTTAGGAAATCTCTCTAGCAAATGAAAAATGCAAAAAAAAGTAGCAGAATACACTCTTTCAAGTAGAATCAAGTGGTTCAGGTTACTGGTTCTTTTAAGATATGGTAGAAGGTGCTATGTTGAGAGTTGGTGATGCCAGAGGGGCATTCAGAGCCCTTCTGAGGAGATTGACTCCTCACCAGAACCAGTTTCTAGCAAGTTTCTCATCTGGCAAGTATACTTCAAAGGCAGGAATGGAAGGATCTCAGTACCTTGTTACATATTAACAGGAATGGAAGGATCTCAGTACGTTGTTACATATTAACCTTAGGCTATACTAAGTGGTGTGCAATATTGATTGGTCTGAGATCAAATTTAGAGCAATCATACATGCATTAAGGCTAAAACCCATCTCTGACTATCCCTGACCTGCTCAAGTGTGATTTGACACTAGAAGGATGGTGAACAGGGTCGTGACTAGGAGCCACAATTGTGAGTTGCAACTAGATGGGGTTCAGGGAGGACATCCATTGGAACATCCTTCCTTTGGCAAAAGTATTTAGGTTGGAGGTAAAAAAGTTGTTGCTAGCTGGCAACCTACTAGCAGACCGTGTACTCTGCAGACTGGTTGCACTGGTTGCATAGTGTTGCATCCCTGGAGGTGGGAAGGTCACATCACTGGGGGTGGGAGTGGAAGTTAGCTTGGTGCTAACACCCCCTAGGCAGTAGTGTTCAGGGGGTGGAAGTTTGTCCACAGGAAGGCAGGAGGGACACTGGGATACCGGAGGACTGAAATGTGGTTACCTTGTCTCTGCAGAGTGGCCACATTTTACTATAACATGAGCCAGGTAACACAGATCACAGATACACCTACCCCAGAGTTGAATAACTTTAAGATAACTAAACGGTGCTTAAAGCTAGTTTTCATGTTTTAATGTGTGGATAATCAATTATTAAGAGCTCTCTGTCCAGTCTAAAAGTAACATGACAAGGCCCTCAGTGGCCTAAATCTATGTTCTGGTGCCCTCTGCTGAAACAGCATAGACCTAAGCTATTTTATCCTGAAAAGGACCAATTATTCAATGAGATGCTTTGTAAAATTACTTTTTTTTCCTTTTTCTTTAGTGTTATTTTTGATTTCTTTGTGATGAGAACTCTTCCACTTCTGTCCCATTATTTTCCTTTGTATTCTATTAGTTTGCTTACATGTTTTTCTGCCTCTACTCTATTAGCCATGCCTCTGCCTCCTGCCTTCTTTCAATTATTTGCAACCACACAGCTTTTTCTGACAGTTCTTTAGAGCCATGTGGGTAAATGAAATTAGGCTTTCAGAATTAGACATCTCATAGGCAAGACTCTCCGAGCAGTGGGGTGAGATATAATAGTCTAATAGAATAGAATCAAGAACTTTTAAGTTATTCTTCTAAGGTAACCTAATGTTCACTGATGCGTGTATTACCTGCTTTCACGCCAGGTTTCTCCCAGTGATCTGGTATCAGAGGTTAAAGATAGAGAGAGGTTTTTCAGATCAGAATCCCGTTGTTAAAAGCAGAAGACAGACCACTCATTGTTCTGGAGATCATGATATAGCTGAAGAGTAAGCCAAACAAACCTTTGTATTCTTATGTCCACAGCGGATATAAAAAACATGCTGCAAAATTGCCATTTTGATTTCCAGTCCTTTGCAACTAGCAGCTGCCAAGGTAGAGCTGGAATTTCTCTCTAATTGCTGCAAGGGACAGCAGAAGTGCTAGGCACTAGAGCTGAGAGAAGGGAGCCACTCTCGCCTGTGCTCCTGGTCCCCCCCCATTCCCAGTGATGGTACCCAGGCAGTGTTAAGGAGAATCAGACTCAGAATGCAAGGGAGTGAAGGTTTGGGTTGGGGGCATGGCAAAACCCAGAGGATAGGAGTGAGGGAGTTGTTAAAAGGCGTGGGATGCAGCCATGGCCTACAAATGGTATGGAAAGAAATACAAGGGTGCGGGAAAGCAGAACATATACAAATGAATGGGGAACAGCAGTTAGAGGATGTGGGGGATATGACTAGAAGAAAATGAGGGAACAGAAACAAGAGGAGGGAGGCAGGAATTGGAGAAACTGTTTTAGAGGAAGGGTAAGCAAATCCTTTCTTCTGATACAGAGTTCCAAAGTTAGCAAGAGCAAGTCACTTAAAATATTCACAGCTGGCCACAGCTGGTTCAGATTGGCAGAAGTGCGAAGGGCTCATGACAAGGGTCAGTGAGTCTCTTTGAGGTACCACAATTAATAGACATTTTTTATAATACTGGCCTTTGATTTTTACTCTTTGCCTCAGGATTCTCTTGGTAATAATGGAAACACCAGCAGTGTCTAGTGTAACAAGTGTGCTTTTAAGCTAAACATACTTTTGTGTAGCTTTCAGAAACAATGCAAGAACACAACAGAAATGCCCTTTGTGTTGATGTTATTTTTTATGACATCAGTAAAAATAATGGGCATAACTTTAAGCTGATGTGTCCGTCGTTAGGGCTTGGCTAGGGACAGACATTACAAACCAGTTTAAGTGATCAGAAACAGGTTAAACCTGTAATAGGACATAACTTCAGTGCACATAAACCAATTTCAAAATGGCCCAAACTGGTTTGAGATAAACCTGGTTGAATATAGTATCAGACTTAACTAATTGAGCTCAAACTGGTTTTTCAATGTCTGTCCCAGATCCCTTCCTGGTTTAACTTAAACCAGAGTCCCCCAGCCGGAGCAGGGAAATGCAAAGATGGGGGTCTGGCCAGACACTGACCCTGGAAGGGAGCAGGGAAAAAGTTTATTCCCCCCTCCTCCCTTGTCCCACCAGCACGGACCTGCGCTTCTCTGCTGGCTGCGTCAG